GAAAAATTAAGTTTCTCCAATCTTCTCAAAACTCTGGATTATGATAGGGGGCTGTGAGACTTTGACCTGAGTGCAAAAATGGAGGCTCTAGACCAGCAAGGTCTCAAACTCGCGGCCCGCGGCCATTTGCGCCCCGGGATGATATTTTGTGGCCCCCTACTTGATATTAAAGTTAATGTTAGTGCGGCCCGCCGTTGCGTTTGCCGCGTTTTTTTTAAATTATTATTATTTTTATCCTTATGGGCTACCATATATAGTCTCGTGACAGCTTAGCGTGGGTTTGTTGTCAATAGTTGTCATAGACAACCACGAAGTACAAATATTACTGCGCCTGGAAAAAATGAGCGCGTCGCTTCAATTATGAGCCGCTCGGCGCTTGATGCGCGCCTACATTTGAAACGTACTTGAGCGTGCAAAATATGTGAGCGCGATATGTGAACAGGCGAGCTACCACACCAAATCAGGCCACAGCTACTGATAGCTCGCGAGCGGCGTGTTGAATACCCCTGCTCTAAAACAATGTGAGAATAATCATTTTGAGCTTGTATATGTTTGTGTCTGAACGCCTTCAATGAACGATAGTTAATGAACTCGTTCATATTTGGGCGAACGTGAACTGAACGTAGCCTACTGTATTACTGCCTGATGAACGTTACAGTGAATCTTCATTCAAATGGTTGTGAACCGAGGAGCCGTCGTAAGATAATTTAAAAGGCTTTTATGAGGTGGTGAGGATGGGAAAATCTTACATGTCTGTGCAAACTTTGCCCGTCGATAAAAATGATTGTTATCTGTGGTTGTGTATGGGTTGTGGCAATAATAATAGCCTAATAATAAAAAAAGAAGCTCGCAGCAACATATGGGAAAAAAAAGAACTAGTTCATTTAAAATTTGTGAATTGAACCTTGAACTAGTTCATGTAATGGTTGATAAGAAGTTTGCTTTGATATGAAAGTCAGTAATTTGCCTGAGACACTATACATGTGTAGAAGAATTATTTGTATTTCAAAAGCAGTAATTGTTTTTCTAAGTATAATAAAAGAAAATGTGCCTTTTGGAAAAAAACAACACAATATATAGTGTTGTATAAAGAAAATAAAAAGCAAATATGACTATCATCACAACAAAGATGTTGTGTATAAGAAAAAGACAAAGAAAGTTTGTAAAATTAACTTGAACTGTCAGAAGGACAGCTCATGAAGAACCAATCAAGTACAGAAAGGAATGTTCAAATTCAGAGGAACAGTTCAGAAGAAACGTTAATAATAAAGATTGAGAAGATTGGATCAGTTGTGCTCCATTTTTAGAATACTTAAATACATTTTTTTAATTTTTTGGAATACTTGATGCGGCCCAGCCTGACCCAGACTCTATCTCCAGCGGCCCCCAGTTCATTTGAGTTTGAGACCCCTGCTCTAGACCCTTCCAGAGCTGAGATATCAAAATTCAAAATTTCGACACGAAAAAAAAACGACAGTGTTACCCCTTTCGTTTTTTTTCATTTTTGGGCGAAAAATTAAGTTTCTCCAATCTTCTCAAAACTCTGGATTATGATAGGGGGCTGTGAGACTTTGACCTGAGTGCAAAAATGGAGGCTCTAGACCCTTCCAGAGCTGAGATATCGAAACTCAAAATTTCGACCCGAAAAAAAAACGACAGTGTTACCCCTTTCGTTTTTTTTCATTTTGGGCGAAAAATTAAGTTTCTCCAATCTTCTCAAAACTCTGGATTATGATAGAGGGCTGTGAGACTTTGACCTGAGTGCAAAAATGGAGGCTCTAGACCCTTCCAGAGCTGAGATATCAAAATTCAAAATTTCGACCCGAAAAAAAAACGACAGTGTTACCCCTTTCGTTTTTTTCATTTTTGGGCGAAAAATTAAGTTTCTCCAATCTTCTCAAAACTCTGGATTATGATAGAGGGCTGTGAGACTTTGACCTGAGTGCAAAAATGGAGGCTCTAGACCCTTCCAGAGCTGAGATATCAAAATTCTAAATTTTGACCCGAAAAAAAAACGACAGTGTTACCCCTTTCGTTTTTTTTCATTTTTGGGCGAAAAATTAAGTTTCTCCAATCTTCTCAAAACTCTGGATTATGATAGAGGGCTGTGAGACTTTGACCTGAGTGCAAAAATGGAGGCTCTAGACCCTTCCAGAGCTGAGATATCGAAATTCAAAATTTCGACCCGAAAAAAAAAACGACAGTGTTACCCCTTTCGTTTTTTTTCATTTTTGGGCGAAAAATTAAGTTTCTCCAATCTTCTCAAAACTCTGGATTATGATAGAGGGCTGTGAGACTTTGACCTGAGTGCAAAAATGGAGGCTCTAGACCCTTCCAGAGC